TTTTCATATATTAAAAGGAAAACTCTAGTCATCTGTCGTGGGATATTTTATTTTATGATTTGGGTTTATTTTAATTTGCTTTTTATAGAAAATGTTGAAAGTTTTGGTATTGTGAGCTCATTCTGCAGCAGAATATGCAATTTAGAAGAACTCTTGCATCATAATATAATAAGTACCTTTACTCTTAACCCTCAGTTTACAGCTTGATAATAAATATTTAGCACGATGATTGTTATCCCTACTAATATTACAAATGCGAAAGTAACTCTGTCTGTCTGTTACGCTTTCACGCCTAAACCACTGAACTGATTTTAATGAAATTTGGTACAGAGATAGAGTTGACATCGAAAAAGAACATAAGATTGTTTTTATCCCAGACTTTTGAAAGGTTCTTTTGGAAACGCGATATAACCGAACTCCACGCGGGCGAAGCTGCGGGCGGAAAGCTTGTAATATACAGGGTGACTGGTGAATTACTATCAATATTTAAGGAGAAAACTCGGTACATGATTCTCATTCGAATTATGTAAAAAAAATAGGCACTTAATTTTTGACCAAATTTCCGTATAAATAAATAAAGCGTGGACACGTTCCAAGTGTTCCTAGCGTGGACGCGTGCGGCGGCGTGCTGATACAACACCACGCCGCCGTGCGCGAGTGTGTGTGTGTGTGTGTGTGTGTGTATACCTAATCTGTAGGGTGTTCACACAATGCGTAATTAATTACATAACTTTTGGTTAACTTTACTTAGAAGTTTATTAATCGATAGTAATTCACCAGTCACCCTGTATAAAACTTAAAATACATATACATATATATGGTACATAAAAACATTGTTTTTCAGTAGATCTCCTAAATGTGTGATAGTTAAGAATAACAAATCAAAAAAGCTGTTAACGTTGTACGTAATATAAACTAACAATAACAAGCAGCGATGGACGGACCAACATTGTATGAATACACTTTAAATATAAAAAAAAGACCTTGGAAAAGAGTTCGCTACGGAACTTACTACACTTACATTATTGTGACTCTAACTGAACTGAGTAACAGAGTTGTAAAACTCTTATTTCGTCTTTAAAACTTCGTTTAAGGACCACTTAAAACATTTAGGTATATTTTGTGCTTTTTTCTCGTAAACTAGAATACAGTATACAGGGATGAAATCTATTGAGTTTATTATTTTTGCATAGATATATATAAAAAGATTCGGGAGATAGATGGAGTATAATATTTGTTTAAACAATATATACAGGGTGACTGGTGAATTACTATCAATATTTAAGGAGCATACTTACTACATGATTCTCATTCGAATTATGTAAAAAAAATTGGTACTTAATTTTTGACCAAATTTCCGTATAAATAAATAAAGTGTTGACACGTTCCAAGTGTTCCAAGTGTGGACGCGTGCGGCGGCGTGCTGATACAACAACACGCCTCCGCGCGCGAGTGTGTGTGTGTGTGTGTATACCTAATCTATAGGGTGTTCATACGATGCGTAATTAATTACATAACTTTTGGTTAACTTTACTTAGAAATCTTCTTCTTCTATATATATAAAAATGGATTGCTGTTCCTTAGTCTCGCTAAAACTCGAGAACGGCTGAACCGATTTGGCTAATTTTAGTCTTGAAATAATCCTGGAAGTCCAGGGAAGGTATAAAAGGTGAGAAAAATTGGAATAATTGCCGGGAAAACCCTAAAAACAGCCTTTTTCTATTTCCCATACAAACGTTTTTTTTGACATTAGATTTGACAACAAACTAATATGTCAATCATTCTGTTTGATTGAAACAGGAAAAACCTGATTAATTATTTATGGCCTCTAAGACGGAATAGAGTTCGCCAGGTCAGCTATACCTACATATATTACTCTTGACCAAACTAACGCGGACGAAGTCGCGGGCAAAAACTAGTTTATTAATATTTATGTAATATTAATTTTTATTTTGTCATATATGATCGTCAAATATCACGTCCTCAAATATCGATAGTAATTCACCAGTCACCCTGTATATTGTATAACATTATAATGTTAAGTGTGTTCATTCAAAATAACTCGACTGATTGAAGATATCAGCCAGACATACATAGATAGTTTGTAAAAATACGCGGTTATCAAACAATAGGAAGATTTAATTTAGGACTAAGTATGTTAAAACCTACACTTTTACAATTTTAAATCTAAAATTTTGTACTCATTGTTCTCTCATACATATTTACTTGTTACTGTGATTTTTTTTCTAACTTTTGGCGATGCTCTTTTGTTTTGTAAATTCTTACAAAAGATGAGGACGCAGGTATGTCCATATGAACCGTAAATAGATTTGGCATCATGCTATCATGTTTTTCCATGTCGGTGTTCTTGTGATGCTTCATTAATTCCAGAAGCGTGCGAAACCCTTGCCTGACTGTGAATCGCTACGTTTCTCTCTATAAGGCTGGGTGACGTTTTAAATTTTCCTATAATACAAAAAAATGTTTACCCATCGATTTGTTTTGTATTCCCAAACGTGATGCATAAAATTAAAACGGTGTGGGTGTGAGACTGACAAATCGTAGCCACGTAATACGTCTGAATACCTGAGATACGTATGTGTATGACATTTATAGTTTAGGATTCAGAATGGATTATTAGTAATGTGAATGTAAATCTATTATCTTAAAATATTTTATAACTTGTCCCCTATAACATGAAATAACAGGTGTCTGATATTGAATATATTTGGGTAAACAAATTATTTAACGTCTCGTATGTGTTTATTAATATAGGTAATAATTTTTTTAAGTAATAGAAATAATCATTTTATTGATGTAACCAAAGAATAATTTTAAAAATTAAGTAATTATTTTTTTGTGTCAGTAATTTAGATTCTCGGTACAGAGTAGTCGGCTAGTCGGATAAAATGTAACGTAAGAAAAAAGTCACTTATTTTCCAAAAAATATATTTTTTTCAACATTTAGTTAATGTACTACTATTTTTTATTGATATCAATTAACTGCTAGTGTACTACAGTCGAAACTTTAAGTTAATAAATATTTCTCGTTACTCTAATATTGTACCGAAGTTATGAATTTTTAACGAGACATTTCAATTCCGTCGGTATTGGCCTTAAGTCCTGGTACGTTTGCCATCTACTTACACGTCGGGTTAGCAATGAGTCACCTTTAGTACACACGTGCGTCGGTCTGTTTACAAAATGGTATTCCGTAATATGTTTTAACGTATGATGTATGTTACGATATTTTGTCTAACAAGCGTGCATAGTGATTATGTTAAATACACTTTAATAATCATAATAATATCACAGTAATTTTCTGATATATATCTTTGCTTAAAGTTCAATTATTAATGCTGCTTTGTCTGCAAATTTTAAGGTAGTTTCCATAAAAAAGATATCATTTTACAGTCATCAATCAGTGATGCCATTATAAAAATTATAAATTGTCAAATAACCACAATTAGTTCTTTATTTGGAGGAACCTTTAAATAATCGGCTAAGGATTATAATACACAGGAAACATCGACATTGTTATGCATCGGATTAATATTGTTATCGTTACAGAAACAATTAAAAAAATAACTGGCTCACAGCCAGCGGGGCTTTGTGATTAATGCGCTATAAATTATTAAATATAACGTACCATAAAAAATATTCTTATGATCAATTCCTTTATATTTACAAGTTACATGCAAGACCTGCCGTAATGTTGCTCGCGACTTGTTCAAATCACGTAATATCACAGTTTTATTAATAGAAATTAATACAAATTACTTTTATATACATATGCATATATATTTCATAAATAATATATTTTCTGTCTGTATTTGTGTATATACAATCTATACCAACTGTTTTACAATTTTAATGTAGAACAATTAATTGTTTTTCATCGGACATAGTCGCTAGCAGCAACTAGTGTCTGGTAAGATTAAGTCATTTAGTTCGACACCATAGATAGGTTATAAATTATTAATTCAAAGGTCGCTGTTGTTTATCGGTGATTAATTGAATTATAATTGATTGGCATTCGGTTATCAGTGCGTTTGCCAAAATGGTTATTTTTATGTTTTGTACAATCATGTACTTATAATATATAAGGTCTATACATAATATAGAAATTAAACTTCTAATATAGGTGCTTGGTTTTTTTTAATTTGATATCCATTTAAGCTTCAATATGAATTGATCGGTATATTTTAAAACGATTGCTTTTTCATTTAAATCTTTTAAAATATCTAGATGGCAATAAAAATGATTCTGTCTTGTACTTCTATCAAAATTTAATGTTATTTTTCACATTGGTATGTTTGTATAATCTCTATAAGTGAGTAACGAAAGTATTTCGTTCATTTATAAAACTGATAACGACGCACTCCCGACCTTGCTTTCATCAGTTATAAAATGTTTCAGTATCGTGATGCTGGTAGGTGCCTTTGAAACTTTTTTTTATAGACTTGTTTATATCCAATGTATTGATGTGCAATAAATACGTTATCTATACAAGCTCGGAATGCAACTTCTGTATGCATACGGAGGATTTAACGACTCTAGCTATTTTACTCAGGTTTTACGTCAAAGCTGGTTTTGAAAATGTTGAACAATGATAATCGTAGGCGATACAAATATATAAAATATTATTACGTTCCTTTACTAATTAGAAAGATTAGTACTATCTTATTGGTTTTTACATATATTTAATGTTATTTACAATGTAGGCTCTGTTGTAATATATCTAGCTTTCAATATGTTCATTGTAATATCAAACGTTTGACACACCTATCGATGTATTTCATACGATCGACTTCCGACGGCCGTCTATTATTTTATTAACGTTCTATGAACGGATATACTGAATGACTTATTGTATATGTAATTCATAGTTAATGATATCAGGTAACTTTGTAACGACTGTAACCGTTTTGTCTTAAGGACGGTGCTTTTATTTTAGGGATGAAAGGTGTTTGTTTTTTTATGTATGTATGTATGTGTGTATGTTTGTAGAGAGCCGTTCAACGTGCGGCGGTGGCGGTGGCGCGGAGGGGTCTGAGGGGCGCGCGTCGTGGCGCGTCACGTTGGACCACGACCTCGTGGAGACCTTGAGCGCCATCTACCCCGAGTGGTTCAAGCAGCCGCGGAGGGAGCGCTCCTCGCCCCTCTCGCCGGCCTCGCCCTGCACACCCCCTGAAGACGACACCTTCAGGTACAATAATATACAATCTTATGAAGAATAACAAGTTCTAATTGAGAAAAAAAATTTCAAAATATTGTGTGTATAATGAGATCTAAGATTTTCGCGAGCACTCATTTAAATGAAACTAATATTTTCGGATTTATTTGCGTTTTTATTTTTGACTACACACTACCGACGTTTCGGCTACTTTTCAGCAACCCTGATCGCGGGCAGACGAGACGACATGTCGAAAATAAAAACGCGAATAAATCCGAAAATATTAGATTCATTGTGTGTATATTACAATCTTTGTTTTAATCTTACTCAAACTAGGAAGAAAATATAAATGTTATAAGGTCCAATAATAGGTTATTGTGTAATAATGTGTTTAAAATGTTTATAGTTCGGGCGCGGAGGAGATGGCAGGTCGTCAAGCCTCTAACAGCGGTACGAGCGAGCCTAGCTCGCCGCCGCGTCTCTCCCCGCCCAAGGTTGTAGTCGACGACAGCCCGCTACAACCAGCCATGGACAAACATAAAGAATGTAAGGATTATACAAATATAACTGGGACTTATCATACATAGAATACTTATATAGAAATATTCTTTTACTATAATGCATCTGATTTATTGGTTAGTGAGGTTTAAAGTTAGTATTTAAACAATCAGCGGGCTTATTAGTATGCTAGTTTGACTTTTTGATTGGTATCTTCGCAGAAATGTCCATATTATTGTAACATGAGGAATGCAAAACAGTCTCCTCTATAGTAGTCTATATAAAGTTTTATATGTGATGGTTTTAGCTCTTAATAACAATATGAATAAGCGGACATTAAATATAGTAGACAGTGATTCACGCAACCCTTACTCGAAAACGTGACAAACATTTTTATAATATTTATTCTACATGTGTTGTGTTAGCGTGGCTGTATATTTTATGCAGCAGACAGAACTCCATACAACCTTCATCCGTTGGATGTTCATATTTATCTGACTGTATCTCACATTAATACATATACCATATAGGACTATTTTACACTCGTTCTGCTAGTAAAATATCACCTCGCTCGCAAATAACTCCAATATTGTATAATACTATGCTTTACATATAATATATAATGAGAGTACATAATTTGTCGCGCAGAACTAATAAATAACTAATAAATATATTTTTTCGTCTCAAATATATTATTATACAGCCACCCACGTTTATGGAATCGAGAATATAAAACTTATTTTAAATGAACGATATATTTTTTGGTTGTAAGTTGTGCGACTATATGCGTATTCTGAGCGCCCAGTAACCCACAATAACCGTCCCAGTGGTAGTGAATGTTCGTCTATATTGTACGGCATAACACTAGTTCGCTTGTGCTTTTGTTTATGTTGGCTCGCTGCCAGTTGTCGGCCGTATAGGCTAGTGTAATGGAAACACGCTTATATCTATCGCCTACGCCTACAAGCCATGATGCCCTCCCAATAGATGTTATCGTAATGTATCAATCGACGTATCAATAACGTAGTCACACTTTGGACATTACGTAGCTGACGAATAGCTTCGTCACCAAGCGTCACTCTCTGGAATACCTTTCCGTCTTATGCCCATATAATATTTAATTTGAATTGCCCATGTATACAATTTTTTGTAATTTTTTGTTATATCCGGTAACCATAAACAATGGCAAGAGGAAAATGATATATTCGTCTCGTCAGATTGAGGAAATTATTGCTTGAATATAATTATACACACATAATAAACAGCTTATAGAGATAAAATTTGATTTTGTTGTTCCCATTTCAGCGCTTAAAGTGAAGCTGATGAATCGCCGCTCCTTCAATCAGCTGGTGCAGCAGGGTATCATGCCACGTAAGTGTATTCTGTGTGTTAGTCAGTGAGTTTATTCACGCTGTAAGGATGTACGTAGAACAACTAGTAATGTAGTAATAATGTGATGACGATCGTTGGTGAGGCGCCCAAACGCCTGCGCAGCTCGCGCCCCAATGCGTGGGAGACGCTAGTTTTATTTACGGGCTAAATGCCTCAGCTAATGAGATTTTCTAAACGATTGGCAAAGAAATGGACTATTTTTTATGTTATTATAAACTACTAGAAATATTAACAGTAAATCTCGAGTTTCTAGCATTGATGTTGCTTTTTATTATGCTGAAACAAATCACGCATTTATATTACAGCGTTAAAAACACCGCCGGCGTATTTTGAAAGAAGGAAGCAATTAGAGAGAGCTAAGACGGGCGATTTCCTTAAATCCAAGATTCAAAGTAGACCAGACCGGCAGGAACTGGAGCGTAGACATATCTTAGAACAGGTTGGTTTAAATATACAAATACCCCTTAAAATATGTTTTTACAAAGGTGTGGTTAACCAATACGGATTTAATTTTGTTGCAGGAAAGTCACGTAGATCCAAGTTTGGCGGAAAAGCAGCGAATGTTAAAAAAGGCGCGGCTGGCCGATCAATTGAATAATCAAATATCACACCGACCGGGGCCGTTGGAGCTGATCAAGAAGAACATTCTACACACGGAGGAGAATATTGAAACTGCCGTCAAAAGTGGCATTCTCCCGTTCAAGGCCACCAGTGAGGGTGCGTCCGGCCGGCCCCAGCTGCCCTCGTCCTACTATGGCCCACCGGAGGAGGTGTCTCCTTCACCCTCCCCGCCCTCTACACTATCACCTGTGAGCATCACGCTCGCCAGCGAGACCACGCCGCAACAACACGCGGCGCCCGGAAAGGAACCTAAGAAAAGGAAACCAAAATTGAAGCAACAAATAAAACCAAGATACAAATTCCATGAATACAAAGGTCCCACTAACGCCCAGACTGCGCCCTCACCCTCCGGCTCTATGGAGACTCCGTACGAGCTTCTTTTGCAGCAGCAGCAGTTGCTGTTGCAGCTAATGCTGCCCGCCTCCCCGGCGCCGTCCTCGGCGTCCATAGCGTCGGACTCGTCGGACGCCCTGCCACCGCCGCCGCCGCCCCTGCCCGCCTCTACGTCTCTGGTAGCTGCGCGCTTTGAAGAAATGAAAGTGTCCGACCTCAGAGCCGAGTGCAAGAGGAGAAACTTGCGGGTATCCGGACCTAAGCCGCAGCTGATAGACCGCCTTCAAAACTTCCACAGGGAGATGCAGGAGGAGACTCCTCGCTCCCCGGCCTCAGTCGCGTCGCCCGAGTCGAGGGCCGAGTCCGAGCCTTCGGAGGACATCGTGCAGTCACAGCGGAGACTCATAGAAGAGTTGGAGAGACAGTTGGAGGAGTCGCGACAGCAGCTGGAGGCGGTGCGGCGGGAGGCGGCGGGCGCGGCGGCCAGTGATCACAGCCGGCGCTTGCTCCACGCGTACGTGTGCGTCACCAAGCTGCGAGCCAAGCTTGACGCGCTGCAGCAGCCGGCCCCCGCGCCCGCGCCCCCCGCCCCGCGGTACGTGCTCGCAGCGCCCGACAACACACAGGACCGTCTCGTGTTCACGGTCACGTCCCCGTCTTCCAATGAAACCTCTGACGTCACACCTACGAAACCTGTAAATCCGGCGTACATCTTGAACGGCGTCAAAGTGGTCCCGATAGCCATCCTCCCCACTGCACACTATGAACCCGAGCGCGCCGTCCCCCCACCACCGCCGCCGCCGCCACCGTTACCACCTTTGACTCAGCAGACTACCACCACCCTGCACGATAACGCCGAGGACAGTCAAATTATGAATGATGTTTTAGAAATTCTTGTCGAAAATGGTGAGTTACCGCCGTCAGCCGTCGGCGATGTGTCCTCGAACAGATCTATCGACACCGGCTACCTTACGGCCGGCTCGGGTGACTACACGCCCACGGATGTACTCAGCGACGATATTCTAGGAGATTCGCACGTCCGAGATTCGCTAACAGCGGACGAATTGCAGAGAGAACTCAACGACATCATGAGCCACACAGATTTAAACTCCATAAGTAACAGGTGCGACATAGACCCCACGGTAGGCGACATAGACTCGGATCTGAACGTGGACCAGCTGGCTAACAACGAGTTCAACGCCAACTTCTGTAACTCGGACTCCATATCCAGCCACCACGACGACTTCCTGTCCGTGTTCCCCTCACACGCCATGGACATCGACGACGACGTGCCCGAGAGGATGTCCATGACGCCGCTCACCAACGGAGACATGCTGGACCACACGCGCACCGGCTTCGGGGACATGAGCGACCTAACGCTGCCCTGCTTTAACGACGAGCGGCCCTGCGTGTTCGACTTCAACGAGTACGAGCTGGGCTCCAACATGAACGTGGACGACCCTTACGACTATATGAGCACGGAGCTCATACCCAACGTGTTCGGCAGAGGACACGTGCCGCAGTCGGACCCCGTGCTGGGGGGCGTGCTGCGACCCTCGGCCCCCCGCCCGGCCAGCAAGCACTACTCCTGGGACAAGATCGAGTACGACGCCACTTGACCCCGGACGACCTCGTTACGTCACTGACGCTCTCTAAAGCTTGGAACACATTGCTATCCCGCATCGTCTTATATAGGGACCGCTCCATCTGTGTCCTAATAAATATGACTAACAATGTATCTGTCGGTTATTGTGGAAGTGTCTACATATCGCGCCGGGCTAGTGTATCTCTAGCATTACAACATGATCTCGTGGTCCGCGGGTCGGACAGTGTGAGTGAGATGTCGGAAATGAACTCTAGTCTATCAGTGACGCCCCGTGATGAACACTCTGGACTATAATTAGTATAATTATCAAACACATAGTGTTTACGGTGATGATAGTGAAGGACAATACATGTACTTAATGTTTCTTACGGATGTTTGTATCGCTAGATGTAATTTTTTTTGTATATTTAAGTGATTTGTGTTTTATTTATTAGTGAGTGTGATTCGTCCATCACCAGCTCGTGCGAGGTCATACTTGGCTCACATATTCATATTTATTCGTGTTATATACTGAGGCCTATCTACTTATGTATATAATGAAGTAAAGTAATATTCGACATAGTTGTGGGTGACTGCATTCCGCCCGATGACTAACTGAAAGGGGAAATTTGACTAAGTGAAGTTTATCTTTCGTTATAGTAACGAACTATTATCTTAATTGGGTGATGCGACTGTGACACATTCAATCAACGTATGGTTCGATTTCTGTCATCAAATTTGAATTATTTCCCATATCCATATATGACATTCCAATCTTGTTGAAATGCATATTGCGTGAACCTCTGACGACCTATCGTAATGGACTAACTCACAGGAAACATCCAAACATGTATTGAGAGGGCAAACTGCATTTTGACAAGCCATCGTCATGGGTGGGGCCAGTTTGGGAACAATATTAGATATGAATTCATTTAGATAAACGTAGGTAGCCGGCTCTAAACCAATTATTATGCAAGCAGTCTTATACAATTGTTTGTAAATTGTACCTACTACTTCCACTTATTGTTTAAGTTTATAGACCCTTAATTATTTTATTTTTTTTGGTGTTAGTGTGGTGTAAATGATTCAACGAATTTTCCTAATTTTAAAAATATATTTATATTAATTCTAAAATATATATTATATGTTATAAATATTGTATGAACGCAACATTCTTGAAAATGTATCATTCCAGTTTATTGTCTAAAGCTTAGGATAGGTGCACCTTTTATCGATAATATTTCTTTGACAATATAAGATTGTTTGCATAATTTTTGTTACATTATTATGTATCCTGTTCTCTCGAGACGATCATTGTTTTTGTTCTGATTTATAATGTAATGTGTTAAGCGTTAGTTGTGTGGCGTGTTCCTCGCTATCACCTCGGCTTTATCACGATTCATCTTTGTTAAACTGGAATTATGTAAATCGGAATGAATATTAAGCCATTATTTGCATTTATAGTCTTATTTTTTTTTAAACCGATTCTGACAACGAAAGTGGCTTTTGCTGTCCCATTGTGCCAACATTACAATTTTTAATTATGTACTTTTTTCCACATGGAGATTATTTATAAATTTTGTATGTAATATTAAGTTTGTTAACGCCAACGGTCTGAGTATTAACGATATTGGTGGAAATATGTGTGAGTACTTCATTTGTGAAGTACGGTCACATAAGCTTTGGTGCTATAAACATATAAGTAATGAAAAATATATATATAAACTTATTTTGGATTAAAATATTATAATGACAATTACCAAGCTGGAAAAAAAAATCAGCAACAACCACTGTAAGTAATTGCCAACTTGTCAACGTGCGAATAATTTGAAAACTTGAGAACTAAAAAAAATATCATTAAACATGTTTTGTGTTTTGCTTTACTAAAATTAAGTATTATTCCATTATTTAAATAAGGTAAACTAACTTTTTTTTTAACATTAATATTTATTATAATTCTAATTGCTCATCTAAATTATACCTATCCATTCTAGCCAATTATTTTCTTGCACGGTGTACCTTACACTGATGGTAAGTTTTTTTTTTAGTTTGCTGATGTTTTACTCCTAATACTGTTAAGGGCTAGCATATATTTGTAACAAGGAATATTAAGTGAGATTAATGTTTGATAAAACCTTATGTATCTGCATATTTGTTATTATTGTTGTAATTATTGTAGGAGAGTTTTTAACATTTGTTTTCTAATAATATATCTGAAGTGATACACAGTGCTGAATTTTGTATAATTTTAGCTGTTTTATATCATATTTAATATAGTACCGGCTTCGTTATATAGCTGTATGTAAATTATTGTCAATAACAATACATTATATCCCGAACATATAACACTATACATTGTATTCAATGCTTACCATAAATCAGTAGTTACATATATGCTCGGACTCGGAGCCAAGTATTCGTAATATTAATGTGATATCATTGATCGTGAGTAAACTTTTGTTTTTTCCTTTCTACCTTGCCGTATAATGAAGCCCTGTAAATAATTACCAAGCCTTTACTAGTATAAGAAATTGTTGAAACAAAAACTTTGACATAAATGTTGTTTTATTTAATTTCCTATCATTTTACGTGTAATTAAATAAAAACAATCCGCTCTACATCTATAGATGTATTTATTTATAAATGTGTAGAAGTTACATGGAAAAAATCTTACTTAATTTGATAATGAGTTAGTTGGACATACTCGTGTGATATCTTGGGGAAACAGAAAATAAAGAATAGGATAAAATAGCGAAATATTACTGAAACAAATTATGAAATCGGTACCTAATGACCTCTAGGTAAACTAGAAAATCTTTTTGAGGTCGCCCTTTGCAAGAGTTTCTTAGAGGTAAAACCATATAAATAAAAGTGGATGCTAACTTGAAAATAGCTATACCAATTATTAGAAAAAAATGTATGTTCCTTTGAGGCCCACGGACGATTTTTATGTTAAAAAATAAAAATGCGCGTCTGCAATTTCCAGTTAGCTTTCAGAATGACCACAAGTAAATCACAGGGTCAGTGTTCAATTATTTACACCGTTAATCTGAAAAATCTGTTTCTCTCACGGACAGCTGTATGTTGCCGACTGCAACGTCGGGAAGCCATTAGCATTGTGTACGCGCCAAATAAGCAAATAAAAATATTGTATACCATAGGTAAAGCATTAGAAGGAGTATCATCAAGTTTATAAAGTATTGTAGTCTACAATTAGTTCTGTTGTTGTTGTATTATTGGCATGTATAAGGTGATCACTCGAAAACATTAAATAAAATTTTTGACTTAAGGGATTTAAAGGAGATTTAAAGTATATCAAGACATTAAGAATACTGCATACCAAAATCAAATGAATAATTATGATATCGAGATTTGAAATAAAAAGTAAAAATATGTCACACAAACTGTTCTGTTTGTTTCAAATTCTAGAGAACCTATTATTATTGATTTGCAGACAAAAAATCAAAAACAATTCAATTTCGATGAAGTGTTATGTGAAATAAGGCATATTTATTATCAAAATGATTGACCCCTCCATGATAAAAGTAAATGAACTCCAGAAAAAAGAGTTGTGTTGTGGGTGCAACATTTCTGATGGCACCCAACGGAATTATGGAATATGGTAAGGAATAATAAGGAAACTATGCACATATTAATGTATAAATATTAAAAAATATATAACAAAAAATAAAGTACAACTGTCATTAGTACTTTTCATTAATTAATATTAATATGACGGATTCCCTGGTTAATCTGTGATTTTATACAGCTTGCAAGTTTTTTACATGACTGATGACAGATCGCAGGTTTAGTGTAAAAATTGGTCACATATATTTATTTAAACCGGAGTAATTCAAGTTTACAAATAGATTACAAAGAACCGTAAAACATTTTTTTCAACAGTACTTTATGAAAAATTCATGTCATATAAATGCAATGGCCTTGTAATAATAGCGTGGTTTTAAAAGAACACCATTCGGAATTTAATCACAAAGCAAGAGTCCGGAAAAAATAGTTATGATATTAGCTGAAACATTGTTGTTTTCTTTAGCTTTGGTCGATATCTGTGGGATCTTGTTTGTTTTAGTTTATTATATCATTACTTTATCAGACTTAGAATGTGATTATTTAAACGCTCAGGAGTGTTGTGACAATCTTAACTATTGGCTACTTCCAAAATACATCGCACATTGTTTTGTTACATTTTTATTATTAATAAACGGGCAGATTTTGTTATTCCTCTTTAATCTGCCTATGTTTATTTGGTTAACATTTGAGTACTTCACTGTACCCAAAGGCAATAGTGGCGCTTACGACCCTGCCGAAATATACAATAGAGGTCAACTTAAAAAACATTTGAGAGATGTTATGATCTACATTATTTACTACCTGCTATTTTTCTTTATATATGTTTACTGCTTTATATTGGCACTCTTAAAAGGAGACCCTATTAACCGAGGCAGTGATGATGATATTGTAACTGAGATTTAACATAACCAGTATGTCCGGAAAGTCCCCGAACGATATTTATTTGGGGACGCAGGGCGACAGTGAGGAGGAGAATCTTGAAGCTACTGATGTTACTATTAAAAATGATAGATGTGTTAAACTACACCTGGATGAGCATATAAAGGCTTATATTGAGAAGAAGGCTGTACTTGACAGGCCAGTAGAAGTTTTAAAATGTAATAATAATCTACTAGAAAGTGTTATCTTGAACTATATAATAGTGAAAAAAATACTTGGGAATCTATCATGGCAGGATAAGTTATTGTGTGCCCAAGTTTGTAGCACATGGTGTTCGGCTTTACAGACATTGAAAAAAGAACAGCTGGGACCTGAAGACTTTGTAATAGACTTCTGTTCTCGCTCGCTAACATGCGGAATGATATATAAGAAATCTGGGAACTTCTATAATGAACCTTTAGTTGTCATGACATTTGCTAATCCCGCCGGTTTTGGAATGACATGCAAATGTAAGACTATGGAGCCAAGTCCTTGTAATCCACCCTGCATTAAAGAACATTCTTGTAAGTTAACTTGATCAATTCTATACTTAAATTTATTTAAAGTACATACTAATCATCATTTAATTTTTCAGTGCTAGATATTGTTTACAAGTACAGTAGCGCACCAAAGGACTGCATGGCAATTGTTAGATCTGACTATTTAACGTACATGCCACTGGCTAGCTCTGTTACATATCAGGATGTAATAACTCAACTGAGATCACACCCATTTGTAGGCGGCCTTTATATACCGGCCATACCAAATGTGAAATTTCATACAATAAATATGAAATCCTATGAAGAAAACATCTGCAGTGTTGTCGACTCTATAGCTAGTGAGAGAATTATTAAAGGAGTGCTTGTATATGTAACAGACAAGTATCTTTTGCATTCTGTTGAAGATATAGTGTTTTTGAACTATTTTAAAGAGGCGTAAGTGAAATAAACTCAATAATATTAATAAAATAACATATTTTACTATTTCAAAATGTCCTAAATACATTTATTACATAGAGTTATTTATTATTAATATATAGACATTGTATAGAGCTTATAAATAGTAATTTTTCTTATATTTCAGACAGCCAGATATTCCTTATGCCCTGGGTGGATGCATTATTGAAGACACTGTATTTGAGCGGAATGATCTCAACGGTATAGTTGATGGTATCAATGAGAGTAATGACTTCATCAGTGACAACCTGATCTCTATTGGAATATTCACAGTTCCTAAAAGTGGTTGTAATGAATTTAACTTTGATATGTTCTCATTAATTCTTGAATCTTCTGACTGGACAAAGGCTAAGATACAACAGTCTATTAATGAGGTATATTATATTTCTTATATTTTTTTGCTAATTACTGCATTATTATAATAATAATTAATCTGTAATATGTGTGTTACAACTTGTTTATATTTCTATTTAAGTACTCAATAAGGGTCAAAACATTTTTATTTAATTTTATAACTACAGAGATTTTTTAACAAATGGTTTATGTATTTAAAAATGTCTCTTATGAGTACTCTTATCAAACTTAACATTTTGAAACATGTTTTATGTTTGTATGTTTACAGTTTTCAAAGAAAGTCCCACAATTTGAGCATAGCGCTTGCATCAAACTGTCATGTGTGGGGCGAGATCAGAAACATAAATGGGAGCAGGAGTGTTTTAGAGCTGTTTTCCCAAACACAACGATAATAGGCTGTTATGGTAACGGAGAATTAGGTATCAATCATCCTGAAAAACCTCCACCAGATGTACCAAGTGTGAAACGACACCGTCGGGATCCTGGACCCCAGTTTGGATTGATGTATTCATATTCAACTGTATTTGTTTATATGGGCTGGGGTAAAATTATATCACCTGCTTAATATATGCAATAAGTATATATAGTGCTATTAGGGATAATAAGTGTATTTTTAATCATAAATAAGTGCTAATTAGTGTTTTCTGTTACTATCGTCATTGTATTGTATTTAAATAAAGTTGGTTTATATTTTGTGAAGCCAGACAATTGTAAATTATCTTCTTACCTTTTACAGATGATAGTTTATTGTGAGGCATGGATTTTTTTTGTTTAGGAAAGTGATAATTCCAAAATTACTCATGAACAACAAAATATACCAATAATATAGACTTTCAGTAATTTTAATGTATAAATAAATAATTTCATTTATAAAGTTAACCAAGGAACAATTGTGTAAGACACCTTTATTTAAAGCATTTTTATATTGTGTTGTGACTAGGTTATGGTGTGGAACATTTGTATTTAATGATATTAAAATATGAGTAATGATTTAAAAGTTAAATAAAGATCTCCATGAATTAAATTTATTGGGATTTATATACTGCTTATATGATAATGAGTTGCACGAATATTTTAATTCTGCTTTTGCTGTACATTAAGAATCATTTTATCTATTTGCTTAGTCTAAAATGGCATTATCATGTTACATAGGGAGCATTCACATTTTTAACGGCAGACGCTTCGTATGTATTGTGACTGCAAACCAATAGTAAGCATACTGTACAATAAACCATTTTATGTTCTCAATAATCATTAATGTTATTAACATTAGCACTATTAAATATTATTGAAACAATAATTTAATATACAGTAGTGGGTGGATAGTTGAAAGAATTATATCTGGACTAAACTGATGTTTAAGTTACATTGTCTTAGATGTGAACTGTAAACTAGTCAGCATTCAGTGATCTATTGACTCACATGTAAGCGATATATTGTTTGACAACTCTTTAATAAATAATACGTATGGTGGTCTTGTTTTAATAACCAATCTCTTCTAGAGTCTTCGAAATATTAGTAGGTATATATTAGAAAAATGACTAGGTTGAGTGTTATAGTACTATTGGCGCGAGGCTGTGACATTCTCACAGCTATTGTGAACTATGATAATGAGGTTAAAGAATATATAATTATGTAAATAACATAAATCATTGCACTGAAAGACGGTCTGTCATTATATTGTTTAGTCAACTCGATCTTCAGAGATAAATTATGTTTGTACCTAATAAAATATCATTTTGAGGGTTTTAATGATTCTTTAATTCTTTTGCATGCATCATTTAATGAGATAAATTAAGTCCATTCATACAATAAATATATTAAAATTGAAAGTATATAAGTTCTGAAATTATATTTAGCATGTTATCAGTGTTATATAAATAACAAGTGGTTGTACTTAGTATATCTTTGAAATATTAGATGTTTGTTTTTTATTCGTGTCGTGGGATCACGTAAATTAAAACAAGCCCTTGAGATTTCAGTTTGACGTCACTAAATTCCGCACAAAAATTTTGATAATTTTCTAGTTTAAGTCGATTGATAAGAAATTTCCTTACAGTAATACCTCATTCGTCACTGCTAACGGATTGCTTCAAACGTGATGCAGCTGAGTCAGATAATGATATGAAGCATAAATCTAATGTAGTTCGAACAACGGTAGAGCGATAACGGCCATAGGTTCATCCGTACTTTATTTAAGCGACAGGTTCGTGTGTATGCTATGGAATTTAATGTTTTGTCGTTTATACTAACTTCACATCCGTTAAACAAAGCTGAAACCTTACCGAGATCATGAGAAAAATCGCATCGCATGACTGTAGAACAATTTCAAATGTTCACCTCCACTTATTGTTTTCATTATTATGGTTATCAAAGATCTCGTGATAATCATCCAAATTAAAAAAGAAACAAGTGCCTGACTATGTTTTTAATTGAAACTGTTATTCTGTCCTTATTTGGCCGTTATAAGTAGGGTATACTTTTATCTTAAGTATACTTGCACAAGGGATATTAAATGATCTAGAAAAAAAATACATAATAATTTTTCTCCTTTCTCTATTAAGTACGCTGTTTTTATATTTTACCTGTTTTTGTGACGGCTTAAATACTTTTTCATATAGTTCATCCCTGACTATAGTATCTACTTATACTTTCTACTAACCTACTTTTATATATCATATTTTTAAATAAACCTACCGATATTTATCTACTATACCTAAAACATGTATCAGTTTAATTTTACACACATATATAATTCAAATTCAGCAGTAAGTAACTTAATTTTATAGGCAACGTAAATTATTACGTATATTCCTAAGTCACTTCCATATTATATATATCCTTAGATTTAATAAATGCCTTCCTGATCATAAGGAACTACAAGCATTAGCTTTATAACATTAAAGTATTTTTCGGATTACAGAAACACGAACGAAAAGTTAGTTATCTTGAAATATTACTTATACGTAAAAAAACCAAGTGTAAACTGAACCTTGTCAACGATTTTCTTAATATTAACCAAGGTTATCAGGGAAAAAGTCTCCTGAAATTTAATCATTATTAAAACTGGAAAGTTTCGTAAGTTTATTTTTGTAAATTAAGTTTCCAATTATTATTATTAATGTGCTTAGTTACCACCAGTGGCGGCTGGTGGGTTATCAAACTGGTGGTTCACTTTACTAAAATATTGACAAAAACAACAATTGACATAAAATATGTTTATTTTTTGTACATTAAATCAATGCGACGACATTTTTCTGTAGCGAAATGTTCTATCACCTTTTTATTAAAATCTGATTCCAGTTTCTGTCCAAATCGATTCTCCGCCAAAAATAATGCAAGTAAAACAAAAGAATGTATTAAGACGCTCACATCCACACAACCATTTCTTTCTATTATACATTTCACTTTTAAAACTTCGTATAAATGCTTTATTTTTCGATTTACACTCTTGTTTTAAATTTAAAAAGGGCCGTGGCGGCCCGGCCAATTTTGTGTTCACTTTACTTTGAAAAATTTTGTTATTTTCTTTAATATAATCAATATTTATACTCATTTTCAACTAATAAAAAACACAGTACAGAATAAAAGTTCTATTATAGAAACGAAATAAAAACTAAAACGAATTACGGAAATAATTATAAACAATAACGAATTAACGCGTCACGCATACAGTGAAAGTTGAAACAATACCAATAACGATTAACGAAATGTCAATCATAGCACCCATCCTTTCGGCCGGCCCCTTGCCGGCCGGCTCAATACGTCATACATCGGGTGCTCTCGGTAACCTTCGGCCGCTTCGTGCGGCGCGCGAGAACCGACTCGTTACTCGGTACATTTCTATGAACTATCTTTTGTCTCACGCGTCAGGCGTATTAATGCGTGTCTCATACAAGATGTATTAGCAGTCCTCGTGCACTCGCCGGAGCGCACGATATGAGTTTAGTAAAGCGCTCAAACTTTTTGACCATAATTGGAAATTAAATTTTTTATACCTTTTTGTATGTTTAAAAAATAAATATTAAAATGGTAATTTAAAAATTAAGATGACATAATATTTTGTAATTTTTAAATATTTTGAATTGGTGGTTCAGCGCACGGGCGCACTTAAGGTACAGCCGCCACTGGTTACCACTAAATGCATTTTATACTTTCTCTAAAATTGTCGTAGGTATATGTAAAGAAACGTAAAAAAGAATCAAAATTATTTATATATTTATTGACTATAAGACCTGGTTTAAAATAATCTTAGATCATGTTTTATCTCGGTTAACTATTTGCGTGTTGCTCGTATTTCATGCAAATCACAAGTTCAGCAGACAATACAAAAGATTTTACATTTTATAGAAACATATTTTAATTGCAGTTTGTTTTACATTTAACATTGGATACCATTATATATTATCTAATTCTCTTAGACACGACTTTCTCGATAAAACGATAAAACAGTAATCCGACGATTGTCTTTGTATTATTATAATGATTTTATCAGAATACACCTTTAACCTATAGAAATATTTGATATGAAGATATGCATTTTCTATTTCTTTTCACGATGATCCCTCTAAATTTACCAGTCATGTTCACTTCGCTGGCGAACACAAGTTGCACATTTTTGTAACGCTCCGGCTTTTTCAGATCATCGATGGTAGGCATCTCATTATAACTTTGAAACAGGCTTTCATCCAGGTTCTTCAAAAATGAAAGTCCAATTTCAATCCAATAGCAGGCAACCAACTAAGCTGCCACTGAAATAATTGATGTTAAATGTCATGGAAACCTAATGACGTACCAGCCCATATTTGGTTACTAAAATCCCATGGTCGCCTCTAAATCATACAATTAATGTGACAGTTTGAGATGAGTGTGTTCGTGAAAAATTTATTTTATTCCATTTAACCTCCTTTTTTAACATTAGGTACTATTTTTCTGACATTTATTTATTTTCTTAGAATATTTTATGCTGCTGTAAGTAGACTATATAAATAATACTTTTTTGTGCCAAATATTACGGAAAAGTTAATTCTCATGAAGTTTTTACGATATAAAAATCAATAGTATTTTTTACATTTGCACCCACCGCTTGAAGTCACAACAATTTTCACATATATCTATTCAAAACTTTAATAATTACGTAACTCAACAAATCTATATTGTTTCTGACATTAAAGTGTTATCATGCAAGTATAAATGATGATTTTAATGAGCAATATATACACAGATATCTAGTTTACGTCACTTAAGTTAGATTTATAGGAGCTGGGGATACATTTCTCTGCTCGAGTCTTTAACTCTCCCCATTCTAAAGCATCTGTAGCGAGTTCTGTTTGTTGGCGGGCAGTTTGCTGTAAAGCCTCTGAGAGGTGACACGTTCTAAGCTGATACGAGCTTTGTAAGCACGCGTACACGCTACTAGTTTTAAATATAATTTTTCTTTGAAATTAAATTAACGTTGTTAATATATGGTGAGATTTTTTTTCTGTTAAAAATTATTTTGTCTTTAAAATCCCTGCAATTGTGAGATTTAGGTACTTTAAATTAATAAAGGATTTAATAATATTTTGTAAGTTTAAAATATATTAAGAATTAAACGGGGTTAAATTTTTAAATAGTTAAACATATTATTTTCCAACTAAAGTTGTATATAAATTTTGAACATAAAATTTTATAATTGAATTATCAAAAGAAAACGTAAAAGTTATATTTTTTAATTTAAGAAATATTATTTTAAAATTGAATAAATAACATGTCACGGTACTGTAGTGAAATGATTACTTATATACTTTTTTTATTTAAAATTATTCTAATCCAAGTTTTATTTCTATGGCTTATTTTGGTAATATTTAAATAACGGTCAGAGAGAATTTCTGGAGCAAATTTTATGAAAATGTTAAAATGACAATTGCAATTATTTTATATACCTATATCAATGATAAATAAAGGTCACTTTTAAATTAATTCATATATTTAGGTGTATATCCATATAGTTGTATCTTTAAAATAAACATTTTTCTCCAAATAAATTTGGTCTGCTGGACATATTGAATTATTTTTTCAGTTGTTAGGAAGAGAGCAATAAACATTTCGTAAAAAAAAATCCTTTGAAGGCATTTATATTTAATTCAGTTTCAGAAAATAGATAATAAAATCAGAAAAAATATTATATGGGAAATGTATAAAATATAAATAATGTATACAGTTAGTTATTTTAGTCGTAACATTAGTGTTACATAGTTTATAATACGTAATAATTATCATATAATAATAGTTGTTAATTTCTTACAGAGCAAATCATTGGGGCGTATAAAATGCACACTTCATTGATTTGTCTGATTTAAAGTGCTTTACTAGTGGACTGTGAAATATATGGAGACTGTGTAAAGGGATTAAGAGAAGTGTATACGCGGAGCTCTCGGAACTAAGTGAAAGTTCGCTATAATATACTGTGAGACACTTGACAGCAGTGAAAAAGACAAAACAATGGAACACATTCTTCGACAAAGGAGGATAAGCGTACCCAAACGGTGAGTTTCCGTCAATAGATATGCTAACTAGACGATATTGCTATTATATATAAAAACTTTTTGGTCTATCGACCTCTTTTATGTTGCTTTGACAGCTTATTGACATTTTAGTTCTGTACTTTATGATAATCCGATGAGTGTAGATGAATGAAATTATTGATACAATTATTTACACAAAGTTAAGAAGCCATTCAACTTTAAAATTTTAACATATTTCATTATCTATTACTAAAACACTAGTTTCTAGATTTTATATTTTATTTATATATTTAATAATTTTTTTGAGTCCAAACATTTTTCAATCGTACATATTTTTCAACGTGAGAACTGTTTTATGTACGTAATTTATTCAATAGTTATTTGCGTCGTAGCAAAAACGTACACCAGCAATTAACGTGGACGTGACCGAATCTTTTCAAATTTCCCTTAAAGTTTCGGAAACAGTTAAATGTCCATCCGGACGCGCACGATCTGAACCAAATACAATTAACGAACAACGGGAGTAATGTGACCATCTATTATCAAATCACGATCACATTAACTTGTCAAACGTAATACGTAATAGGAGAGTATGTATCTTAGTCATTTTCGGACAAAGGACAAGAATATTTTACAAATTTTCCTAAACACTTATTTTAAAAGAAAGTTATTCATTATTAAATAATTACTCTGCATTTTATTCTATTTATTTGCTATTAGAAACATGCTAACATCAAATGAGTATTGAACAAAAAGTTTCACTTTACAAAAGAAATGCATAATTGCGTGAAATAATACTCATAAATAGTTTTTATAATGTATAAGCAAAATAAACTATTATTTGGCGATTACACCGTGTCTTTACGAGTTCAGTCATTCTTGTAGATGTGAAGCAAATCTAAAATCGATTAAATAGTACGAAAGATAATTCCTGAAAGGTGACTGACACAATGAGGATGGTCGTGAAGTTTTTTGTCGTTTGGAAATGGCGCATGTTCCGCGATCAGAATAGATACAATGGACTCCAATATACAGACAATTCTGTTGACGTAAATAAGCTATATATACTCTTAACCATTATTCTTATTATAATAACAGCTTATTATAAATTAAAATATTAATATCTAATACCTACACATAATGTTATAAATTCATATTACATATTTTAACGAGGAAGTTGGAAGATTTAAATTATCTATTTTTTAGTTGTACTAAAGTGTCAAAGCTTTATATTTAGCGTCAATATAGCCATACGTCAAAGTTTATGCCAAATACGTGACAGAATTTATATTGTGATTTATTTTTGATATATTTTTCACACTTCATTTTATTGTTCAGAAGCTATAAAATATGATAAAGTCCAACGACGCACGAATAATATAAGTTATGTGAAAATAGGAATGATTCAGAAAATTTACAGCTTCCAGGCACGCCAGTGACCATGTACAATAAAAATACTTTTAAGAAACTTCTCGAATATATTTAATTACTTAGGTAAAATTTTTATTTTTAATATGAATCACTTTATATTGATTTTCGTACAAATTAATACATTAAAGAGGATTGAAGATAATTAGTTTTTTTTTAAATAAGTCTAGGCAATATGAATAAAATAAATTGAATTCAAACCACATTTTAATGGTTGTCAATGTCATTTTCATCATGGCGGCGAGGGCTATTACAAGAAAGTATATTATGCTACAAAAACTGGTGTTATTGTAGCGTTCATTAACACTAGTAATCTCAGTGTCTCGTTTCTTGTTGATGTCACAGAACTTTTATAATACCCTTCGCAAAGTGTGAGAAATGCATAGCTATTACCGCATTACTAGTTTAAGAACTTTTGCTTTCTTGTACCGTCTGTTGACATATGCAAAACAAGTATTTCACTTGTTATTTTAATGTACAACTTTAAATATAATAAATAAAACTATTCACGGAAGAGCTGTCGTCTTGATTCGGCCGCAATCATCTCTTAACGTACGTAAAAGTATTGTGTTTTCCTTTCACTGGTTACGTAATTTGCAGACGACATATTTCCCCGTTTTTGATCACTAATACACGTATGTCACAGCAATAAAGTTGATATTCATAAAAGTATTTTATATTGACTATAAATTGAAATCTATAAACGTATAGTACCTTTTTAAATAAAACTATTTGCGTGAAAGTACCTACTTGAGGTTATGTAAGTATAATTACTTATCACACACAAGAACCGGTAGTAATGCTTGACTCGATAAATAAAGACAGTGAGGGGAGTAGGTAATAAAAAAATGAACACCATTAAAAACTCTTTTCTCAATCAATGTCAATGTCGGCTGAACGCAGGTCGACGCTCGTGTTTTCTGTCCACAGTTTACACCGCGTTCAGACACGCTTCACTTGATCCTATCATAGCGACAAACTAATTATTTATATCATATCTTGAGAATATACATATATGTATATAAATAAATACTTCGATTAATTCCAGTATTTACTTATTTATAGTTTAAACATAAAATTACTAAATACATGTATATTTAAAAGAAATACATAATATTTATTATGTATTCCATCGTGAATTAATCATAAGTTCTGTTCGTTAAATCATTGTGAAAGTAATATATAATTACGCGATGCCGTTATTTACATAAGTTTATATAAAAAAACAGCAATTAAAACGATTAGTGATCATTCGAGCACAATAAACAGTTGTTCGAACGATTTCTAAGATCAAATTCATTACGTAGGCCGTTCTACTAAGCTGCATGAAATCAATGAGATTCTCAGGCGGGAAAACTGTGACTAGAAAATCAACCTCAATTATTATGATCCATTCTTGTAAACAGCTTCACGGACGAACTTGATTTATAACAAATCTATTGTAAACAGTTCGTTTTGAATGGTCGTGATACAGTTACATTATATCGAACTTGGGGTCAATAGGTACGTGTACGTAATTTTGGTTTTTTAAAACGAAATCTTTAACAGTTTCCGCGGACCGTTAAAAATTTTCAAATAAAGAATACAGCGAACACAAGAAGACTTGAGAATGAAAAAAAGTGAAAACTTTGTTTTTATAAGAAACTAGCTTGTGCCTGTGACTTCGTCTGCATTACTTTCATAATTAGAAATGTACAGCTGACCCGGCGAACTCTATTTCTCCTTAAAGACAGTAAATAAGAAGATTTGATCAACTTAATTTTTTTTCAATCAGATGAAAAGCATTCTACGTCCTTTCCCTTATTCAGATTTATCTCTCCACCGATTTTCAGTCAAATCCGTACAGCCGTTCTTGAGTTATAAATAATATAACTAACACGATTTCCTTTTATATATAAAGATGTTTCAGTCCATTTGTGTTGTGAGATGAGAGGGTGATTCACATATGTGGGTCATTTTCACATTGTCTAGTGATTTACCGTTTGATTGTTATATATAACTGGAGTCATATACCTTAATATTTTCCTTATTTACTTTATGTTTTAAATATCAGTTTCTTTATTTTTCTTCATTTTACGTTTCATTAACTGATTTCAAGTGATAACTGTTGCGGAATGATTCCAATAGGTGTGTGTTATAAACATAATAGCTGTATTGTTATCTTTCTGTGTCGTCTAACATTGTCTAAGAGGACTTGTTAAACCAGCGAAATTATTGTCAAAAATAACAATAAAATTCTAGAGTAAGCTAGAAAGTTGGTGATTTACCTTACAGACAATGTTCATTGACTTTCTAAGTAAATTTAATTCGCACTAATGTCCCGAATGGTAAATATGTTTGGGATGCAGGACGCGTGCTGAAGTGTGGCATGGGGTCGGCTCATGGTAATTCTGAGTAGCTGTCATGATTACTTGATTACCGTCACCACATACGTTCTGACTTGACATTCGTAGAAATAACGTTTTTTATAACAACTTACTTGTTAGAAATGTATTATTATTATAAACAATGGATAGTATTTAAAACTATATAACGGATGCGATTATTCTGAAGCTGTTATAAAAGAAGTAAATCGTATAAAAAGCAATTGTATTAAAAGTGGCGCGTGTAACTCATTGATCTATCGGATAAGTTAGCTATATCTGGGCTAGTGATCAGTTTCGTGCGTGTAATAACGGTAATGTTCATTGATTCCGATATTTTTGAGGTATTATTCCATTTGGAATCAGCACAGATAATACTTACATTACGATATTAACCGCTCTTTAAACGAGATATTTTTTTTTTTTTTTTTTTTATGTCAAAGGTGGCAAACGAGCAGACGGCCCACTTGATGGAAGGTGGTTACCGTCGCCCATTGACATCCGCAACAAAGATGCTGCGGATGCGTTGCCAACCTTGTTTTATAGGGATAGGGAGGGGTGGGAATAAGGATATTGTAGGAAAGGGTGGGAATAGGGAAAGGGCAACCGGCTCTCTCACTCATCGGACGAAACGCAGCCATTAAAGGCTACTTCACGCCGATCTTCTGTGAGAGGGTGGTACTTCCCCGGTCGAGCCAGCCCGTGTTCGAGCTGTAGTAACTAACCACAGCTAGGCTCTACCACCTAAAAGATAATGCTAGCATTGTGTTCCATATAAAATATTTCCGTTGTTTATGATAGTAGAAAATCATTTTACATATATATAAGTACATATAATATCATTTCGGTTTGCGTAACTCCAAGCTCGCGTTATCTTGTTATAATCAACACTTAATTTTCTTACACAAACGCAACACGTATCGACGGTAATAGATTTCTTTTTGAAGTTTCATTTCCATTAATAAAATTTATTTGGGGATCTTGTGATAGCGCCCACGTAGTGTTCGGCCACCGGAGAGGTTTCTGTTACGGAATTTATACTTAAGAGTTTAATTTAAAATGATATGAAACCTTTTTAAGTGCATTAAAAAAGCCTTTATCTACCCAGTTTAAAGTCATTGAAATATAAATGTACAAGTGTTTCACATGGTTTACAAAAAAAAAAAAAAAATCTTAAACATCTTTCTTTTGAGCTCCGTAAATGCTAATTCCATGTATAAATATAATATA